TTATTGCCAGTGAAGATTGGTTACAAATGTTTCATTACACAAACATATCCTTAACCCGTTAAACTTGTGCTCCAGTATGTCCCTAATTCAAAACAACGCCGGCTTACAAGCTACGAGCGAGATCGGGAACCACGATGCTTGGGCATTTTGCAGGTAAACAAGAGACACCGCAGGCCATCTCGCCCAACCGACTTACTTTGCGTCGATCTTCATACTAATGTTGTGGAGAAAACTGCTAGTGTATCTCTACGCAGGCATAAGACTAGAAATATTTATCACGTTGCTGAACTTTGAGCGCTCCAGACAGGCTTCTGCTCGATCACGGACGGCAGCGGTGTCTGCCCAGCCGCTGCTCGCATGTCTCAGTTGCGGCGAGCTGTGTTATAGTGATTTTCGCACGCGAAAGCATAGTAGTATTAACTGTGTTATTTTAGACCCCCAAAAGCATGACGGCTCAACTGTTAGTTAAGGATTGATCATATCATTAGCTGTGGCTGAACGTCCCAGAACCTACATATGATTATAAAATACGCCGTAGTGGAGGCATCCAGAAATTTCGACCATCTGCGATTCTTTAACGTGCACCGAAATATAAGCGCATAGCATGAGCCTCAAGCATTTCCACCTCCATCGAAAATGCGGCCGCCATGACCGGGATTCAATCCCGCCACTTGCGGGTCTGCACTTGAGTGCCTTAGAGTACCATCGAAACTGTATTTGAGTGCCATCAAAACTGTATGTTGAGTTCGGTGGGCTCAATTTCCGGCCATGGCAGCGGTATTTCGATAGGGCTAAATAGAAAAGAACGTCCATGGGCTTAGATTAGGAGCACTTTAAGAAACCCCAAGAGGCGAAAATAAATGCCGAGGTTCCCACTACAGCGTGTCTTATCAGGTCGTGTTTTTGGTAAATAAAATCTGAACAACTTTGTTCCATCCCAAAAGTCATCCGATTTCAAATGCTCGCTGAAAACCACAGTAAGTTAGAAGTTTCACATGTATAGCTTGATAACTCATTGTTTTTTCCATCTTCAGGCGAAAATAAAATCAAACACGCAAATGACACCTTTCACGGTGCAGTTTGAGCCTTGAAGCCCACCCCACAAGCAATTTATCTTGTATTATTCACCCAATATTGAAGCTGAAAGGTTCTGCAACGTTTCACTAACAAAATATATCGCACTTCAGTTCCCGCACACACAAGAAGTTGCGGGACACAACGACGACGAGGCACTTCTGGCACGTTGTCGCCAAACAAGTTTTCGTTCCATCACCGCAACACGGCTTTCACCGCTCGCCATGTGGCGGCGCCACCGTAGTTAAAAGTTGCGAATAGAGCAGCGTGGTCTGCGTAAGATTTAAGCACTGGCAGGAAACTATGAGGACGTAAGCAGTGTTCGCACTCACGGCAACGTCGACATGTATAATTGATTTCGTCATGTTACTGTTGGAGCCATCTCACAGTAGTCCGGTTTCAGGCACTCCAATGCGATGATTTGCAGTTTCCCGTGAGCATTCACGAAATATGTCTACACTTGTTTCTGCAGTACCGGAAAGGCCTGAGGTGATGTGGACGCAAAGCAAGTCGAATGGGTGCAAAGCACATGAAAACACGGGTACAGTGGTCAAGTCGCATGTAAAAATGCATGGTGTGGGGTTCTCGTAAATGACGGGTCAGACAGAGTTTGGGATCTCGGAAGAGTTCTCGAAGAATGTGGACATACTCGTGAGTAGACAGCGCTGCCGACGGCGGCTCTGAGGAGTAGTCACTAGGAAAGTGGAGCGGAGTACTGAAGATGAGCCGTACGCTCGAGCACCCGACGTCCTATTTCAAGGCGCACCGGATACCCAGAAATTCTAGTGACAGGTGTTGAAGACATTGCGATGGTGGGCCATGGGCAATCAGTGGTGCCTTGTGTTTTCGATGGAAGCGTTCCATGAGGTCACTAGCCTGGGGATGCTAGGTGGCGGTGAGAAGGCGATGCGTGCCAAGCAAACCCTGGAGCTCGTGGAAGAGGGCATACTCAAGTTGCTATCCTCTGTCAGTCACTACCTTGGTTGGGCATCCGAAACACGCAAGTCATGTTTTGACGCATTCTACCACGACCGTTGCTCCAGAGCTGTCTAGAAGCGGAGTGGCTTCAGGCCAACGCGTAACTCTCATGACAGTTGTGAGCAGGTAGCGAAATCTATCACACGGTGATTGTGGTCCGACTATGTCAACATGGGAAGGTCGAAACAATCTTCAGGCTGCGTACAGGCTGCATAAACTACTGTGTTTGAAGATTAGGGTACCTGTGGATTTTGGCACGTTTACCGAGTGTGCGTGCACGTACCAAAACGTGCGCATCTTCGTACATCGGGGGTCACACATAGTGTGATGAAACAAGGCATTGCAAGGAACGAATGACAGGGTACGCGAGCTGGTGCAACAAATGAATGAGATGCTTGCGCAGCGCCTAAGTATGAAGGGTGTGGCGGTGCCTGTAGAAGGTTTGCAGAAAGCTTGGTGTGCTGCGAGCGTCTGCACGTCGAGTGACGCAGGATTTGCCTGTGATATCACGGCGTACACCCAGCTGAGAGTGTCAGCAAGTATTTTCTAATTGCCGCTGACGTGTCGGATATCAGTGGGAAATTCCAACATAAACAGAGATGGCATATTTCTCGTGGCGTATGCATCGTCGACTCTCTGCAAAGCGCATACGTCAACGGGTTGTGGTCCGTGAGAATTGTGATTGACCAATATTCGACAAGGCGAAAGTGTCGGATAGCCAGGTGAATACCAAACTGTATAACTCTTGACAGAAGGTGCTGTATCGAGCTTTTGTGTGGCTGATTTTCCTGCAAAAGGAGGCTAGGGGTTGTGATGAGTCTTCAACACGCTGCTGGAGAACCGCTCCCACGGGTGTGCTAGACACGTCACTCATGAGGGCTAAAGAACCGTGGCATATGAGATGGGCAAAAAGACAACGTTGGCAACGCACCCTTGATCTTGATGAACGCGTTTTGGGCAGTGGTTTCTTAAGGGAGCAAGTACGTCGTGTTTTTGTGGGTAAGCAGATGGTCCAGAGGCACCACTACATTTACACAGTTCTTGAAAATTGGCGGTAAATGTTAACCATGCTGAGAAATCGCCGCAACTTCATAATTATTATGGGCCTAGTGAACCTCTGGACAGCTCAGATTTCAAATAGAAGTGGGTGGATGCCACCAACGTCAAAGTGATGTCCCCGAGAGACCAATTAAAAGACAACATACTCGTTTTTCGAGACGTTGATGACAATGCTGTTGTCAGATTGTCGTTGTAGCAAACAGCAAAGCTCTTATAAATGCTGTTCTACAATTACTGGCCACCCAGAAGTCGTCGAGGTAGACGAAGATGGAGGGTAGATTGCGCGTGACTGCGTCAATGAAACGTTGAAATGACTGAGCGGCCTTCTGGAGACCAAACAGCATTCGCAAAAGCTGGTGCGGCAATAGATGTCTTGGCTATTACGTCTCTAAACTATAGCCGTATTGTCTATCAGGGCCGTGACACCAATTAGCAGAGAACACAGAAGAAATGGGTCGACACCTTCTTCAATAGCGCCGAAGGCAAATGACAACTAACGTTTTCTTTATTTTCTGCACCCCTCACAGCCGCCTTGCTGCCACGGCGCACAAGATCACACCCAACCCCTTCTTCCTTCACCGTGCCCCGCCGTGGAGGTCTAGTGGCTAAGGTAGTCGGCTGCTAAAGCGCAGGTCCCGGAATAGAATCCTAACTGCGGTGGCTGCACTTCCGATGGAGGCGGAAATGATGTAGGCCCGTGTGCTCAGATTTGGGTGCACGTTAAAGAACCCCAAGTCGTCGAAATTTTTGGAGCCCTCTACTACGGCGTCTCTCATAGTCATATGGTGGTTTTGGGGCGTTGAACCCCACATATCAATCACCAATCTTCCTTCACCGTGTGACCCCGTCGATGTTGGTAACGCTACCAATGAAAGTTTTGTACTTCTAGTGAAACCGTGATTTCTGTCTTTAGTGCTCTATTCAATTTGTCAATTAAGTAACAGCAAGTCTCAACGTTTTATTTTTCTTGTTTAGAGTGTTGGTGACATGCACACAGGCTCTGCTAAAAATGGCCATAGTATGTAATCTGCGATGTGACTGCACCTTTTTGTTGTTGGTAACACGCTACGCTTCACCTGAAGAACCTCATCTCTTCAGTATTCCCGCTTAGCATTGCAAGAATATAAAGAATCGCTCTCCGTAAACGCACAAGTGCACCAAATATCAAGTTTCACAACTTTTTTGGGGGGGCCTCATCACGCTGCCTCCATTTGGAGCCTAAGAGGCCAAGGAAAGGCGCACATTATTATATATCAGGCTTCAAGAAATTCCCATAAATTTATTATAAAAAGGAGCAAGGAAATCACAGTAAACGTATCATACCATACAATCGTGCTAAGTCAACGCAAGTCTTCGCACAATTTTTACGACGTGTCACTCCTGGATAGGTCTACGAGACATAATTCTTTGCAAGTACGAGATTTGCCTTAAGCTTCCGTTATCGCCAGCCGTCAAATTATATAAATTTTCGCAATCATTCTTGAGGTGTCGTGCTATCGTCATTCTGTCTTTGCTGTTCCTACTGCGGCCACCTGCAATATTATCTCCGGCATACTCACATATTAATGTCTTCGTATGTGCAATTCATGCCGTTGGAGGTACTTGTTATTTTATATACCTGAATATTCTTGGAATTACTTGCTATAAATATGCCGTTACTTGCGCTTTCTTCGTATGCATGGGTTTCTCTTTTATGAGTTTTGAACAACGATGCGTACCTATTTATCCGAGGTCTTGATTGTAAAGTCGGAAAGGTGGCTTTAGCGCGAGTGTCGCCTTTGAACAAGTAGAAGTTGTGCTTGAAACAGACGGTGTTCCTTGGAACTATATATATGTTGCACAAAAAAATCAAAATTTGAATTCTGTCTCTTTCACCAAACCCTTGACAGCGTGCACTCTCAGGAGGTGCATCCGTGAGTGCAGAAAAAGAAAAGACACGCGTAAGTTTGGCCTGAAGGCGATATGCCAGAGAGAAGATTGCCACTGCGACTGGAAAAATAGTAAGTACGCAACAAGCATGTCAACTGAGTTGTCCTGTTTGTTCTTCTACTGCTTCTATTTTTTTTTTGAAAAATCTGCGAAACGTTGTAACAGTGTATATGTAACAGTGTATGTATGTTATATGTATTCTAAGCCAACCTTCCTCTTTGTGCCGCATGCTTTAAAAAACGCTACAGTCCTGTTTCTTGTAAGAAATATTTGCCTTGAAAACAGCACTCATACATTGCAAAAACAAAGGAAAATGATATGCGATCCAGAAAAAAGCTGACCCACAATCACTGCTACTACGAAAAATATCTATTTCAAGATGAAGGAGAAAGATAAAGCATAGAATAACCGACCATAATCACGTGTAGTTAGCAACGGCTGGTAAACATAAGTGAGAATGAGGAGGAATGGTGCGAGGGAAGAGAGGATAGAGAAGAGGAAGAGTAGAGCATTTTATACCCGTGTGTAGTATAGTAAAGCTATTGAGGGGTGGAAAAGAGAAAAAATGGTGAGGAGGAGAGTCAAGAGGAGGAGGAAACATCAGCATAGCCTTTTATAGTGCAGTATAGCAAGGGGTTGGGAAGCGGTTAGGGTGAGGTAACAAAGGATGGTAGAAGGTGCCACAGCGCCATAAACCGAGGTTTTCTTTTTTGCCAAGAGGGGTTAAAAAAGTGAAGAAGTAAATGTGTCGTCGTACCTGTCACTTCGGAGCTGCCCAGCAGGGTGCACGTTTTGAACGCCATCGTTGCCGAATGGTAAGCACGTCCCAACACCGCACTTTTACAGCTTTCAGGTTGAACTGAACTGCTGAGATTTTTTATCAGCCACCATTTAATATGCCAAGCCACAGCATGGTGTTGTGTTTCTTACTTTTGGTGATGACAATATCAATAAGAATGCCCACCATGGTGGGGCCGGCGCTCAAATGCTGACACAAAAGTCGCAGGATGAAAACACGGCTGTGGTGGCCGAAATTCAAGGCAGACAAATGTGAGAGACCCATTTACCTAGATATAGTGGCACGCTAAAAATACCAAGGGTGCTATGCAAGATTGCCCGAGCTTCTCGGGCAGACGAGTGGGCTCCGAGCTGGCTCTGCGGCGGCCATGGCAAGAAGGCAGTGAGGAGCACGTGATAGCACCGTTGATAAAAATGGCTGCAGGAATGCGCGCGGCTATGGAAATGCATGTGGGACATTTCCGGCGGTTGTCAAACATTTTAACAGCGCAGCGAAGTGAGCGTGATTGTCGCGCTATCTTTTTGCCAACTCAACACGTGCCCCCGACTGGAGTGTTCGTGGGCGTCTGTCTTCTTTCGTAGATATTCTTTCGTTCCACCTATAGCATGTAAATTTCACTTTCGAAGACAGCAAGGGTGCACACGCAGCACTCTCGTGCTGTTGATTTCACTTCAATGAAATATTGCAGATGAATATACGGCCAGGTAGTCACTAGGAGCACTCGCATCATGGCAGCAACGCCACTGTGATTGAATACGTCGTGAGCGTGGTGAAATTGAATGCGAGACATCGTAGCCACGTGGTGATATCATTTTCACTTCTGCGTACGTGTGTGCCTAGTATGCGCAATGAAGCTGATAAATTAATCATGCTGCTCAACGTGAGTAGCGCTTCTCGGCAAGAGTAAACGTGGTGGGCGTACCGGATCTTCGCCGCGGCCGTCTTTCAATCAAACTGATTGATGCGTGAACTCGGATATAAACTCGTTGATTTTGAGAAGGCCCGAGTTCAGCTCGGGACTGTGATGATGCCTGTGTGACTGCCAAGCATTTTTATGCAGTGAACGCTACGCGGCAGCTTCTTTGCCTATAAAATAATTTGGTGATCCTACACTACTTGTGCAAGGCTGGAACAGTAGAGGATCTTGTGAACAATACATGATATTGTAGGTTTTTAAGTACGTCCTGTACTTAAAAAGCTAAAGAACCTAATGGTCGACAACTCATGTGCGTTGTCGACTACGAAGTGAGGACTATATCAGCACTACCCTAATTTTATTGTATTATTAGGCTGATGCTTAACGACAGTTACACTCAGCTGTCTTGTCTTCATTGTTAAGCTTCAATTATTAGGCAATCCTCATGATCGCAATTAGCAACGCCATGATCAGTATGGAGCTATTGAACGTAATACTGATTAGGAGGACACTAATTACCACCAGATTAGTAAGCGTTAATAATTAGGGTTCTACTTAGCATGCTCTTGGTGAACGCCACGTTAATTAGCATAGTTTAGTCAGCTCATCCACGAGCATGCCTAAGTAATCCTGGGTCTAGCTTTACGTGGCTTCATTAGCACGGTCTTCTTAGGACGTAGCGTAATCGTCTCAGCCTTACTATGACTAGGCGTAATTAGCTTGCTCATATCATGTCCTTGCCTACCTAGCCAAGCATACCACCAAGCCAAAAAAAACCAAATCGTATCCACGGAATGAATGATGAGCAGAGAAGCGAAGCTTCGGAGGGTTTTATTTGTAAACCGTGAATCATCTGTCCCTCTTTCCGTCCGCCCCTGCTGAGTGGGTCATCGAACTAAGCGGTCAAGTACCACGAGCTAGAAGGGACAGACCGCCGGCTGTAGGAGCTTCGCCCTTAATAGCTAACGAGCCAGCCGCACGTGCTCAGGTGCTATCGGGCCATGGCAACAAAGACGAGGCGCACTGGCTGAGCAGCGTGCTGAATGAGCATTATGACGCCGGCTGACGCCGGCTATGTGCCGGCTGAGCATTATGACGAACACGTGGCCTCCGATTTAGCTGCGGTCGTGATGTTTTAAGACGGTCGGCCGGTGCTAATCTCAGAAGCCACCATGCTGATTATTTTAAAACATATTCTGTGCAGGCATTCAAAGCTTCAAAGTATACATAAACACCCCATGCCTCTAAAAAATATCACCACAAAAAGTTTCTGACCCTTTCATTGCATGAGTGCACTTGTGCACTAAGTGGAACGAAAAACAAATGAAAGAAAATGCCTCTGGTTTGAAAACACCACCGAACTTAGTCAATGTGCTCGACTGGGTGATCCTTTTCATCGTAACTAAATAAACGCAGCGTGCTGAAGAGTGAATTTGACTTTTTCGTAGTGTTCGCTCATTCATAAGGCTCTGTCTCGACCACTTGGGAATTCGCGAGTTTAGCGCAACTCCACTGATCCTGCATAATGGCTCAGATAGACAAAACTTCTGAAGTTCTCCGCTACGACATCCCTCGTAAGGATATTGGGGTTTAAAATTCCAGCATTTATCACCACTATGGGTAGCAATGTTGCCCTCATGATGACTTATGCGAAAATAATTGTAAGTGATAATGTGTTTACGCCTTTTCTTGAACGAATCTAAGAATTAATAGTTGTGGTACATTTATTCTAGATTTTTGAAAAAGGCATAATGATCGTTGTATTCCACCCATTTATTACTTACGTCTTTTCACAGAAGGCGGCGACACAATGTGGAACTCTTCTAGAAACTTTTCGCATTGACAGTAGATTTACGGTACAAGCCTTTGTGATTGTGATTTGTAGACGTGTAAAGATGCTTAAAAGCCACCAGAACATGCCGAAAAGCATGCGAAGTGTTGAAGTTCAGTGCAAGCAGTAATGCCGATTCCAAGGCGTAAATTCACTGCGGTCGGACAACGTCGAAACATCTTGTTGCTTATTGTGCATCTCCTTACTTATTGCTTATTGAGCAATCATAATTGCTCCAAAAGCCAATTCCCTCACACACAACACATATAAAAGTGCAGGACATGGTGACATTTTTTACGATAGCAGAGAGTCTGGCAACAACAGCTTAGCGAAGAGACAAACCAGTAGTTTTCCTGTTTATTAGTAAAAAACACACCTGGCTTTCAAAAACTGTATGTCTGTGAGCTTACCCTACCTACTTCTATGAATAACTGCGGTGATTAACACCTAAAGAATAAAGGCTATCAGTAAACGACCCTTGCTGCTTCTATTTACTGTTCCCTCAATTTTGTGAAAATTGAGGTTACAGCCATCGCAAGTTTATCGTCGTTGCAAAGTCATCAAAGGAGTATGAAAGCCGGTTGGTTGTTCTGACCTGAAGCAGAGACGGTGGAGAAGTCTGCAGTAGAAAACAAAACAAGCCTTTTCATTGACTTATAGTCATGTACAAAACACCACAGAAAAAACAAAGAAGAGTGTTATAAATGGTCCTAATATTAGACAAGGTGGCGACAGTACGAATGTAATGACTTATTAACAAAGAATACAGAATTGCGCCAGGATGTGCATATACCCTCACTAACGTGGAAAAAAACGTTCAGCAAAAGCTGTGTGAATACAATTAGAAAATAATGCAATACATGACATACGCGTTGTTATGCTGTTCAGTGGTCGTACGGGTATTGTACGATAACGTTACGACGAATCAGAATGAAGCTGCACATTACACACTGCCATGAGACATAACGCACCCCAGGTTTGTCTTGCCTTGCCTTTTTTTTGAAGGGCACGTAGAGTGTGCTTACAAACATACATGACACGCATGATCACGCAGCAGCAGAATCAAATCCATATGACATGAGGTCGACAGTGGAGTCTTCTTTAAGAACGCTGGCGAGTCTTCTTGAAGTTGACGGCTTTGCTGAGTTGATTTTCGTAGAATTCTAGGCATGAATGCAGCGTAAAGCAGGGTAACTTGTCTGCAAAAGAGGAACTGCGGGCTTCATTGAGCACGTTGTTTTTTTGCCTCTAAGATGAACTTGTGAATCATTCGCAATTTTGATGAAGTTAGGTGGTGCAGGTTATACGGGAGGACGTTATTTTTTCTACTACATCAAGACAACATTTTATATTGAGCCTCAAGACAACACTGCTTGGCGCGTGCCATAAACTGCGTGTAACTAGTTATACTTTAGCTGGAGTGGTGCTAAGGTGGCACCCTCTGCCTTTGGAATACCGGCCTCCTCCCGTTACTGCCCCCCCCCCACTCCCTGAACAAACACAGTAAAAACACAAACACGAGTTCCCGCATAAAAGCGAATTTTCGTTCATGCATACAAGGGAGATGGTAGTACAAGCTTCCATATTTTTTTTCTTTCAGGGTGCTTCTACGCGCAGTGCATAGAATCGTGCAAGAGAGAGCTAAGGTGGACTGAAGAGGATGCCTATCGTTGGTCAGTCAGGGCGAGATGCGTGAACGGGGATTGTATCTGCAGATCGGCGCCACCACTATAGAAACGGAGTAAACACCAATAAAAGGTGGAGGAGGAGCCATAAGTGTCAATGGTTTCTTGCGTGATGAATAAAGAACGTGAAAATGCAAATACCTGGCTGTCTTCTAGCAGGCTCCCAAAAATTTCACAGTACTGTCAAATATATGAAACTCATTCTAGGTATCGCAAAAAACACTGTAAATTTTGGATTTTTCCATGGAGAAGACGCGACATATTTTCACATCTGTTTAACATCTCAATTTCGATCTAGAGGTTACTGCAGCAGTGCGTGTAAAGTTGTCAGTTTCAGCCCCTTTTCAGTGCCTCGCTAATTTCTCAGAGACAAAAGAGAACACAGTGGTGCTAAAACACTTCACATGTAACTAGTATATATATGTATGTATATATATATATATATCAGACCTCACCTCAATGCATACGCATTATTCTTTCCCCTATATATATATATATATATATATATATATATATATATATATATATATATATATATATATATATATTATATATGCCTCCATCTCCAGCGCGAAAAAAAAACACAGCATATGCACGGAGTGAATGATAATGAGTGGGGCGAAGCGTCCTTCAGCCCGTCCATGCTTCCGGCCGTCTATTCGTTCTTGCCTCTATCCGTCCACGCAACCATCCGTGCATCTATCTATGCGTCCGTCCTTCTGTACGTGCGACCGTCCGTGAGTCTATTCATCTATATGTCTGTCTGTTTGTGCGTCCATCGGTCGTACGTTCACGCGTCTATTCATCCGTCCGTCCGTCTGCTAGTCTGTCTGTCCATCCTTCCGTGCGCCAATTTAGTGAACACTGCAAGTGCCGCCATCTCCCATCTCGCAATCACTGCGGCACATAGCCGCTATAAAGCGGGTATGTGCCACCAGTGGCTACGTACTACTACATACATACGCAAGAGATGGACAGACCCAGACATTAAGGAGCTTCGCCCCTAAAAAACAAACAGTAGAATTACAGCGAAAAACTCAAGATAAATGAGCATTTGCGAATGCTACAGTTGGCATCAAAGTGAGCATGTTCATTTTTTAACCCCGTTTTGTGTTTTCTTAGCCTAGTGTTAACGCACCATCCCGGTTGGTTCATTGTAATGTAAATATGATAGGCTGCGTTCGTCAACGCTTGTTGTACGTGCCGTGTAAGGACAAATTGGACTCTGAGAGACGGCAGGGTAAAATACACACGACGTTTACAAGAAGTCACATGAACGATTAGACAAAACACTGAAGTGAAAAAGCTACAACGCACACAGAAAAAAACTGAGCTTCATTAGGAATTAACTCATGAATGTTCAATAAAAAGCGTTTAAACACCTGACGGCAAGATGGTCGGTACGACGGAAGCTGAGGTGCAGGACAAGTGGCGGGCGAATGACACGATCGAACGGCTCACGTGTTGAAGTGCGACGCTGTGGTTACGATGACGCTTGGTGGCGTGGGTTTCACTAAGGAGCAGGCAACCCGCATCGGAGACGTGATGTGATGCTCCATGCAGGGAATGGCCAGCCTATCCAGCGAACAGCTTTTCTCGAGACGCGATGCTCGGCGTCACCGGGACCATTGGCCAAGTCACGTCCGTCACAGTGACGTTCGCTAACTGCGGAGACGCTGGGCGAGATCCGTGATGCCCTCGGCAAAGAACAGAGCAGCAGCCCAGGCTACGCCCTGAGATGCATTACTAGTGCCGGTAGTGCCACCACAGCTGGTAGTATGACGGCAGCAGCACGGACAGCCGCGTTCTTTGTCTGAAACCTGTATTGCCAGCATCCGTCGCTTTGACCCACGGTCCGCCGTCTGCCGCTGCTTCGGCTCGTCCCCAGCTACGAAGCTTCACCCCACGTAATCCTCCCACGTGCCCCAACTGTGGCACGCCATCTCTATTAGCCACCACAGGGCATCAGCTGATTAGCTGACCTCACGCGCACAGTTGGCTCAAAGTCACACGTGCCTGGCAACGCGCTTTATTGTCGTCGTTGTTTCCGCTCTCCCATCACACCGACGTAAGGAGCATAACACAACATATGGTACATGACTTTCAGTACGCTGCTTTCATTAATACACCACTTTTGTGGCACAAAGAACAAAACCCTCAAACTCATTATGGCTAATGTCATACTTCCCTTGTACATTGTTATGTTTGCGCTGATACCTTCTTTGCACAACTGCACGCATTGCCAAACGCACTTCCTAACTTTCTTTACTTGTGGTTATTTTGTGCCCAAAATGACTGTCACAATGCTTAACGCAAACAGACCATTCACTGTTCGAGATACATCATGATTGTAGTAGATCGTTTTGTTGTGACTGCACGCTTGACGTGAATATTCGACCTTATTTCATAGCTTTCCTGACGACCAGTGATACGGCGGGAAAATTCAAACGTGCATATAAAAATGCCGACACCCATCATTACTTGTCAAGTCATTGACGGCCGACGCACTATGCGCTGATAACAGTGTACAGAGTGCGTTGCTTGCCATGACTCGACTTGCAGTTTCCCGACTACAAGTTCGGCGAAGTAAAGTGTTTCGCCTTCAACAAGCCTACTGCTGTCTTCATACTTGTCACTGCCACGTGACACCTGGTGAAGATGCTCTTCGTTCATGTACCTGACGCCCCCCTCAAGATAATAAACCAGCCCCCATTGCGGAAACGTCATCGACACCTAGCACTACCAACGAGTTAAATATAGGCAAGGTTTACCACCAGAGCATGAACTTCTACTTGACAAGACTCAGAAGATTAGACCATGTCCTCAATGAAACTATGACAGCCACTGTACCACAGCCCTCCTTCTTGATTCTGCCGCCCAGAAAGCCGCCGACCATGTATGGATCGCCAAATCAAGAACCCAAAACCTGCTTTTAAACGTTGGAAAGAGTCTACGCACCTAACAACTGGCGCTCTCAGGAGAGGCCACGCAATGTGTACTTCTACCTAGAGGATGCGGCAAGGATCTCGCTTGAGAACAGGGAGTCCACCATGGCAACATGGAACATTTTCTGGACAAACTTTCTCGCCACGTTTACAGGTGTCATACAAAAGGGAAAAGCTACCACTTTGCCTGACACACGGACTTAGCTCCCAAACGAAAACGTGACAATATTTCGGAATAGGTGATCTGTATGTTCTATCTTGCGAACCATAAAATGACCGAAGTGCATAAAGTCCGCTTCTCATGTGAAAGGTGCAAAAGCTCTTCGCTAGTCTGGTACGGAGCCCTCCCAAGACAGCACAATACATTTTCTCGGATCCAAAATCAATGAACACGCTGGAAGTGTGTATCTGTCAATACAACAGAAGATCGATGCAAGACAGCGCAGCTCTTCGCGCCCTGGCTTCCAACGACCTACGCGTAACAATCCGAGCTATCACGCGGGAGGAGCTGCAAAAATTGTGACCGACCACGTAGTCCCAAGTTACCTCGATAGCTGAGATCGCTCAAAACGAAGTTAAGCAGTCACTCGGTACTTCTGAGCCGCGACAGCTTCAGCCACATGATACGACTACGCTGCTGCAGCCCGATGCTGAATTGTTCCTGACTGCCCACGCCAAGATGCCGGACCACCTCATTTGCACCACCAGACACCACCGTCACCACCATCGACGCCATACCACCCATCTGGCGACAACCACTACGCCCCAACAGCAGACAGCTGGCGTACACATGACAACCTCCCGCTGTGCTACTATTGCGGGGAATCCGGCCATATCTACTTCCGCTGCTAGTACCGACAGATAGGTCTACCGGGATTCGACGTCAACACGCCTTGCCCAGAGCGGGGTGAACGACCGCACGACATCGCAGACTACCTCGCAGGAGTGCGGTTGACACACCGACGTTCTAACCATGCGCCGTCGCTAAGCCGCTACGCGTCATCGCATCAAAGGCAGCCCAGTTCGGAGCCGCCATTACTCGAAAAACTTAGAATAGCAACCGATGTAGGTGCGGTTGGTGTGCGACGAACTGCCGAAGATTCTCCGCCGATGACGACAACATAACAATGAAACCGTAAGAACCTGCTGCAATCCCAGCCCAGGTACAAGGTCAAAACTTCGTGGCCAGAAAAAGACCTCACAACCCAATGTCGAAGCCGTGCAGCAAGCCGACATCGCCGTGATTCGACGCTGCGACCCGACCACAACACCAGACGACGCACTTCGCATCTCATCGATTTCCACAGCGGCACATTTCTCGTCGACATGGGAGCTGTCTATTCTGTCGTCAGAGAATCATTCACTGTGAAGTTGAAGAACGTCAAGACCACGTGCAAGAATTTGAACAGTTGGTTCTAACAAAGTAACGCTAGATGGAAGGTGCACAGAGGGAGTCATCAATAAATACCGGAATTTCTCAGCGATTTTCATAGTCCTACAACGTTGCTCGAGAGACGTAATCCTTGGTATGGACTACCTAGGCTTTCTTGGTGCCGTGATCAATCTGACACCCGTGTCTATAACAACATCAACAACAAAAAAATTGCCCCTACCTCCCCGAAGGCAATTGTAAGGAAATGCCAATACATTTCTTGCGCTAAAAGTACATGGCGTAGTAATTTTATTGACGTAAGTAGCAACGAAACGAGGATTCATCCCGTAGTCATTTATTAACATGTTCATCAGCCAGTGAACAGTCGAGAATGATGTGCGCGCTTCACTACACTGATATATACGTACGAGCGAGCGGACGGAAAAGTAAGGTGCCAGGTGGAGAGAGACCGAACGGCGAGAGAAGTATCAGAGAAACACTGCAGCTACCCTCTTCCACACTGCCTCCACACGCGGGAGCTCCGCCAAGGATGGATGGATGGATGAATCGTTGTATCCGACAGTGCTCTTTAGATCGGGCGGTGAGTCACGCCACCTAGCCATAAAGTTAAGTACTATCACGATGTGTTTCAGGTATTAATTTCACTCGCGCCTTAATCGTAGCCACCAAACAGTTAGCCTCCTTCCAGTTATTTCTACCCGTTTAAAGTCTATTTTGCTTTCTCTGTGACTAAACTCCAATGCTTTCAAAAGTTTGTGCCATTATCTTGTACTATAGGGTGGAGTTCTTTACAAAACATTATCAAA